GCACTATGTTTTAGTAAGCTCACTAAATTATTATATTTGATTATGTCTCTGTAGTTGCTGCAATCGAAGGATAATATGGAGTACTGTATGACCGTGTGTTCTCTCGCTCCCTCGTGAAGGTGTCATTCGTGAATTTGTTTTCCCTGATAGACACGGATAATCGACCTCATCAATGAGCAAAGTCGCTGTAAATCAGAACAGACAAGGGAAAGGGGTATGGGTAGACACGTCTATGCAATCTATTTGAAGATCACTATAGACAGAATATTATAGAAATTAATTTTCCATTAGGGGAAAAAACGACCACATTGTAGAGAAAAACCGGGGAGATGGAGGGGCATATGAGGGATAATCATACGAATGTGATTGTCGTAACTAAAGATTTTTCCTTGAAGACAAAAGCAGGCACAATTCAACATGAAGGAATAAAAGACCGAAATGTGTTCAAACAAAAATGTAAAAGAAAAGAATAAAAACGAGGGGAAACAAGCACACGTTGGATGGCAAACGAGAGGATAGCATTCACATAAAAACACAGCAAAACAAACCAAAGATAGGCCACTAGACAAGCGCTAGCTTTAAAAGAACTTGAAGTACGACACTAGCTTGAAGAAGTAAAAAAAATACAACACTGAAAGAAAGCTGAAAATGGGGTTTTCGATTACTTCTCGAAAGTAATTAAAATACGCTCTTTTAACAAGAGATCGTAGCAATAAAAAGTAAAGAAAAACGTGGAGAAAAGCATGTGAAGTTTAGTTTTCCAGAGAGGACTGCTAATACGTGGAGCAACCCTACAGAAAACGTTGTAAGTGCTAGAAACAGACATCAGTGTAAAAAGTAGGAAGAAGTAGTCTAAATATAGACAAGTTCCCCAGAGCACAAATTTCACCCGAGTTTAAATAACTAACGGCAAATAACTAGGTAAGACCAGACATACAGATACGCACTCTCAGTATACTGTATATTCAAAAGGTAGAGGGGATAGACTAGTAAAAGCGTGATATTTGAGAGAGATTACGGTAGATAGATGGTTAGATAGATTGACAGATAGATAAGTAAATGCAGAGAGGGATGAGGAGGGGCACCAAGACTGCATATTTATTATTTACTCTCTCTATCTCTCTCTCTCTTTCCCTCTCTCCTCTCTCTCTGCGCCTTTGCCTTCTCTCTCTCTATCTGTACGTACTCACACAGATTAAAACCCTCCTTATATTACCGTTGACCTTCCCTTCCCTCGGCCCGAGGTCTTCTATGGCTTCGAAAAGTCGTTTACCTTCTTACTCAGTACCATATACATTCGTGTTTGTTTACATACACACATACACATACACACTCAACCGCACACACACGCACGCGCGCGCGCACACACACACACACACACACACACACACACACACACACACACACACACACACACACACACACACACAAATGCTAACAATATATTAAAACAGTATTACACTCAACTGTTGATGATTTGTATCTTCGAAAACGGTTCCCCTCTTAACCTTTTTCGGCTTGTCACAAGGAGGGAGAGAATATAAATTTGTAAACTATAAAATCCTCAGAGAGATAGCTATGTCTTCAAATTATACGGTTGATAGATGACACACACACACACAAAGAAAAACAAATTTATTTATGCCCAATTTCCGAAAGAAAAGACCGATATCGAAAAAAAATTAAAGAAAAGAAGAAGAAAATCAACCAGAAGTGCAGATTGAAAAAAGAGGTGACATGACTTTACAAATGAAATACCCATAACATTCCGATATGGATATTTCAGTCCACTGCATCAACCAGTTATATTTAACCGGAAAAGGAAAGCTGCAAATATATCAGTTTACTTTTCTTTAACATCTGCTCGGGTCGTTTTTTTATTATGAATTTAGTTCATCCTAAAGTTTAAAAAGTTAAAAAAGACATGGTCAGGGTATGTATATTTCACTTCTTTCGATTAATGCTTACCCCTTTCTCATAAAAGCGAGGAATGTTAAAAAACGCGCTTTTTTGTTTTTGGGGGAAATACACACTATAACATGAAATTAATCACAAGATAGAAAGCTTAGAACTGACCGCTTCCTTTCTGACCGTGATTACTAGTACAGAGATCAACAAAATGGAGTCTATATTTGCTGTATCCACGCTGCCCCCTCTCCCCCTTTTCCCCTCCATTCTAACCGCCAATTACATATGGCCACGCCCCCTCGTTAGAAGCTGGTCCCAAGGCTAATGGCATAGTAGGACCTTTTGCGCAATCTTTTTCTCTTGTTTTGTTTCTTAGGTGATTATATTTGTATTTTAGATGTCCAAGGGAATCGTCAGGTCGTCGCCCGCTTCCCTTCAGACCCAGAAAGGATAATTCTGTTCCTGGTGTGTTGTTGCATGGTGAATATATGTGCCCTAAGATGCAGATACATACTGAATAAAAAAAACAAAAACAAAAAAACTAACAACGGAAGGGAAAAAATATCCTAATTTCATTATGCGTTAGCGTTAAGTTTCTAGCGAATTTCATTACAATTCTTTTTTTCTTCTTCATCTTTTCCTTTCTACCTGTTTTGTTATTGAAATGTCCCTCCTTTGAATACGTCTTAAGTAACATTATAGAATTTGCCTCCACTGAACATCCCCGTAGCGATGAAGAGTTAATAGTAATAAAATCCATTCATACATTTCTGACCAAAAGAAACAATGTAATAGATCGAAATCAACCATTTACCCAAGAAGTCTCGTGAGTTGCGTCCAAAGAATGACTCACTCACGGTTGCCTAAGTCCGCCGCGGTCAACAGTGCGCCATAAATCGCTTGGGTGAGGTCTCGAAAACCGGATTGTGAATACGATATTGTGTCATTTTCTTAACATATTTAGCGGATTTGGTCGTTTAACATTGTTCTTGTGTTTTTTTCAGGGGCTTCATATTTCTCAAACGTCAGATAATTAATTTCAAGAGGAATATTTCTCATACTGATTATCCATACCTTTCTCGTTATGCATTTACTTTTTTGCTTCGCAAATAAGAATATTCTTACCCGTTTTCTTTACTTGTCTGCGTTCAAAGATAGCTTGAGCGTCGGCAGCAAACAGTAATTCATAAAGTAAGGGTGGACAACGCGGCTCACATTCATGCAAATACTCATCTTTCCATAAAAAAAAGAACAGAAGACACGAAACTGTGAAAAGCATTCCACTATCTAATAAATTATCTGTACTCATAAGTATAATAAGTAGAGTTATTGAACATGTAAGGATACTGCATATTACTTGTGGCGCGATACAGTAGATAACATATGAGTTAATGAATTGATAAAGGATTTCGAGGCCTAAATATCTTAAATGGTTATTTCTAGGACAGATGGTGCCGACGCTTTTTTCTTTAATTTACGTTTTCTGTTGGATGTCATGAGTTGTAAAAAAGGTAAACCATTAATTTACATGGTCTTTATTTACGCTGAAAGAAAAAAGAAAGAGAGGTTAAAGAGAGAAAAGGTGAAAGAATATATCAGAAAAAAAATCTGAAAGGAATCAAAGCTGAAGTGAGCAGCATGTCTCATCTCAATCTTCGGAGCTAAAGGTAAATTTTACTACTACCAAAATTACTCTTGAATATTCATTCAACACTTCGATATTTTGTCAGTAGATATAGCATTATAGTTATGTATAACTATCATGTAATCAATCATAAATAGACGTATATATGTATTTGTACTTGCATGGATATTTATTTACATACATGAACAAACATTCAAATACATATTTATGCATCTACTGAACTTGCTTTAGCTACAATAGCAGGCCAGACCCTACGAGTATGTACACCAGGTGGTTCTCTGTGTGACCTTAGCTCATACACAAAAAAAAGCAGTGGCGATATTTGGTGGATAAATGAGCTCTTTATCTAAGACTGTGAGGCAATCAGAACGACATCTAGCAACCAGGAAAATATGGAGATAGGTTCGAGAGAGCCCAGAGTATTGACCTTTACAGCAAATAGATAGTCGCTAGTGGCACTGATACGTTCAGTCATTCTGTGCGAAAAAAAGAAAACAGATTGATAGTATTAAAACGAATTTGTTTTATGTAAGCCGCCGATTAGATATAATGTATCAGATAAATCAAATTTTCCTCATTTCACAGTCTACATCTAGATTCATCTGCGCTTCGTGCACCGTGTAGTTGCCAGTACATTCTGCAGCCTAAACGTACTTCTGGCAATAAGCACAATTGTCTAGCTGGCAATCTCTACACTGATCGCTCAAACCCGTAGACTTTAAAACATTTATTCAAACTTATACTTCTTAATGTAAACCTTGATAATGCCAGGTTATTTATGTTTTGATATGTTCAAATCTTAATTCGTTGATTATAATGCAGTGTTTAGATATGGTAGTAGGTTATTATATAAATATACCTATATATAAATATATATATATATATATATATATATATATATATATATATATATATATATATATATATATATATATATATATAAAGAGAGAGAGAGAGAGAGAGGGAGAGAGAGAGAGAGAGAGAGAGAGAGAGAGAGAGAGAGAGAGAGAGAGAGAGAGAGAGAGAGAGAGAGAGAGAGAGAGAGAGAGAGAGAGAGAGTGAGAGAGAGATAACGCAGCAATATATACGAGCTCATTCTTTATGAATATATAATGCACCACGTTAACTGGTCCAGCAAGATGATTACTATTCTACATCCTACTTTTAGTTTTGACTTATAAGGCGCACTGTATTATATAATAGATAATGAATATGGAAATCTATAAGGTTTAAGATGCTTTTTTCTCGTGTAATATTTTATAAACATTTTTTTCTGTATAAATGTTGATTATCAATAGGAACTGCAGTCGTTATTGTCTTAGATGAAACTAGATGCGTAAAATATCATGAGCAATATATTTGCTATGAACCGAACTGTAAGGATTAGATCCAACGTTAGAAAAAAGATAAAATAGTTTCCCCGGGAACAGATGGCATTTTGTTTTCT